ATCCCAAGAACAGCACCTTACTGGCAGAGACTGGCACACGCACGGTTAAATGAACAAATGTTTAAACATCTTCAATTTGGGCAGAGATAAGTCAAGAACCTTTGTGGACTTAACTCCTGCCTCTTGTTGAGATTTTTCAGGAGTGATGAATATGGCACTAGTGTCTGAAGCCACAGAAAGAACCCAAGCGCCTGATACATGCAAAAGAAAGAGGAGGAGAGGAACCATCAGACTAGGGAACCTACTCCAGCTTGAAGGAATCATGTTTGAAAATTTCCTTCATATTTTCTCCAATAAACTCACCAGATGAGTGAAGGCAGTGAAAATCCATGGCTTGTATTTTTTTCTACCAGCACCAAAAGCAAGAAGAGACAAAGGAAGCAATTTCCATGCTATTGCATGAAGACCTATGCAAGCTGATCTGAGACAGCACGTGATTTTTGGTGTTCTTCAAAATCCACTTCCTACTCTGTGGATTTGACTAACATTTGTCACCACAGTGACTGGGGTCCCCTCAGGAAAAAAAAAATTAGTTCCTTCTTTGATTTCCTTGCAAGCCTCAAGATTGCTCTTTGTTCCTCAGTTTCCTGTCAGAGAAGCCCATGTTTTGGTTGTACATCTGTGTGGGTGTGGGGTTATTAAATAAACACACAGCATCTCCTCTCTATTCTATATACCCAAGGAGAGGCCTCCTCAGGCAAAGGGGAAAGAAAGAGCCAAACTTCCCCAAGGAGGGAAAAACCCTGACTCCAGCTTGAGAGGTTTTAAACAACTGTGATGAAGTTTTTCGTGAAAGTGTTTCCTTCGATGCACTGGCTGGCCTAAGTCATCCTGAATCAGGCCTGGGTAGAGAGCGAGGAGTGTTATAGGGTGAGATTCCCGTTTCATTTGCTACAGAACCTGTTAGCATGTAGAAAGTGAGTCACGAAATTAGGCTAAGGATGACTTAATAAGCCAGATAGTTAAACTCTGCTCTGGAAAGAGGAATCTAATTCCTTATTAGTTCCTAAGCAGTGTCAGACAAGCCACTTGAACTAAATTGGTAAGATTAATTTCCAGGTGCTCCTTTTTCTAGACGGGGACTGGATTTACAGAAGGGATGAGCATCCACAACTGGAATTTAAATATAAGGAGCCATATAAAACTAAATTCTCTGGGGAAAGAGAGATACTATGAATCTAAAATTTAGGATTCCTTTTAACTGAAACATGCCTGAACTTCAAAGTCCAGTTTGCAGAGTGAGATCTTACCTCACTGGGAATGACTACAGTGGCAGCGATACTTGTGTTGCACTCAGATACCAGTGCAATGACCACATTAAAGCATTCCTGAAGATCTAAGTAACTTTATTTTCAGTGTAAGAATATGCCACAAATAAAACACAAAAATGGATAAGTGAGGAACTAGCTTGGGTACTGCTGCACTGCACTCCTTAGTGTGCCCAGATACAAGAGTAAAGCAGAAAAAAAGTATGATTATGCTACTTTCCAAGATGTTTCTATACAGTCAGGTGTTATGCTGGACCCAAATGGAGAAATCCTTCCAGAACCAGCCAGGCTGGTGCAGAGACATCTGAGCTGGTTTGGGGCACACATATAGAGGACCAAGACCACGTGTTATATATGATCTCTGTTATTTCAGAAAAAGATAACACACACATGAAGGAATTATGAGACCATTGATAAGATCAGCTGCATCTCCTGTGCCTGTTCAAAAGTGGCTGCAGAGAGGCTAGAGCATACTTAAGTCACCACAAACTCTTTTCATCTTGGAGCCAGTTTTCTGTGCACGAGCCTGGATACTCTGCAGAGAATGGTGCTCTCTCCCAGCACCAGGCCTTGGAGAGCTCAAGCCTCCTGGTGAATGCCTGACAAAAGGGCACTTCTAGAAATTGTCTCTCCTTTGTCCGCAGGTATCATCCTACTCCCATTTTCACTGTATTACAATCTCAACTTCATTTTTTTTTTTTCTCCCATTACTAGCTCAGGCTGAAAGAAACAAGGCTGGAGCAGCTCCTGCAGCTGGGGAGAGTTGAACAAGCTCTCAGATGTACAACACCACTACCAGGTGCTCGCTCTGGCATTTCTCCCTCCTGTCTGTCCCCTCAGCACAGTACAGTGTTTGTCTTCATTCCCCTCACCCTGCCTCGCTGCCTCATCCCCCTCCCTTCTTATTCTGGGAGCCCTCTCCTTTCTCCTTACCTCCTCCTTCCTCTCTCTGCATGCTGTGACTAGACAGGAGAATACAGATTTGTGTATTCCCTAGACAAGGTTCTCTTTTTTTCCAGTCCATCTTTGGTTGTTGATTTCTTCTTCTCGTAGGTGAGTATCTCTTAGCTCTCTTCTTCCTCTCTGACCTTTTCTCTGCTCCTTGTAAAGCATTCTCTCCTCTCATGCTGTGAAACGTTGATGCTGTCTCATACTGTGAAATGATCTCTCTCATGGTCTCCCTTGACTATACCTCTAGCACAGTCCTCAGTGCATTCTAATGGATGCTATTTCACAATAAATACATAAGCACTGCATCAGGCTGCTGTCTTCTCTAACTGCCTATACCAATATGGTATTTTAAAGGTGCTTCTTAGAACATCAAAGATGCCTTAGCTATCTTAACATTTTCCTTCTCAGCTCTGCTGAAATTTATATAACGTAATTGTGGGGGTTTTTTTCCATCCAGCTTGAGGTCACTAGCACATGCAGTGCTGCCCTAGCTTGCACAGCTCGGTTGCTGAGGTAGGGCTAGCTGCATATTATTCTCCATTTCCCCTTTAAAATGCTCCATCTTTTTGAATCTCCAGCTGTCACAGTGAGATTGTGCAATCAGGTGACTTGGTGACAGGCTGGTTTGCTGCATTGTGGCATCCTCGGAGCAGCTACAGAGGTTTGTACCCAGAGCTCCCCGGGCAAGCGCGGAGGGAACGCCAGACAGCAGCCCGGGCAATCCCGGGTTATGCAGAGCTATGCACAGCCGCGGCAGGCTTTGAGTGTGCAGCGTCTGCTGGCCCTGCCGTTCTGGGGCTGAAGGAGTAGCCTCTCAAGAGAATACCTACCTTTGACAGTCACTGCGGCCAGACATCTTGAGAATCCTTCATTATAATTGCCTTGGAGCCTGTACAGATCCGATGTTGCCTCATCATTTGGACCATTTATTATTGATACCACAAATGCTGAGTCATTAAACAGAGGTCATAAAAACATCCTTATTCTGCTAAAAACATTAGCTCATCATTTCTGGTACTACAGAAAGCAAGAGAGAACCAGGAATCCTTGTGCCTGCGAGAAAGAAAATGTGGACTGCATCAAGGGCCTGGGAAGACCAGAGAAGAGCCCAAAGTCAGTAGCTCCTTAGAAAAAGCAGGATGCTGGTTAAAGATGGGTCTCTGGGCTCAGGATCAATTGCCATTTCTGAGTTGGTGTCACTTCAGGTTACCATTTTAACCCAGGATATGTTAATTTCTCTTTCTGTAAAGGGACAGAAATAAAAACCTCTCTCACTTCTGTCTGAAGACTGTAGGGCACTTCAGAGGCACTAGCCAGCTACTCCTCACTGCAGAGAGCTGCTGTTACTTCAATTTTTTCAGAGGGAAGCCAGAGGTACAGAGGAGTCATTGGTTTGCTTGCAAACCGTGGTTCAGGACTGCAATCTCCTGATTACTAATGCCAAAGAAAGCCATTTTTTTCTTGTGTTCTTGTGCTGCCTAAGAGTTAATGTAGCCAGAGAAGGGATTTTAGTTTATTTTTACTGCTTATGCTTTATTTTCTCAATCCTCTTCCTCGGGCAATTTTCTGAATCTGAAGAGGTCCTTCTGGGTGGAAAAACACATTTTGCTGAGATTATGTTTCACTATTTTAATAGTGAAGCTGCAGACAAATACTTCTTTTGATGCCTATATTTGATTTCCTTCACTGCAGGGATGTCCTGTCGGCGTCCAGATCTAACAACAGGCGCGTGGGGGTTACATCCCTCAGCTAAAAGGGGTGGGGGTGGAGTGCGGCGATTATTTGCTTTTTTGTTCCGGATTTCTTTAGAGGAGTACGTATGAAGAACCGGTACCGCAGGCTCACCAGTCAAGGAGCGCTGTGCCACATCGTGTCCCCAGCCACAGCAAACACTTCATGCGTTTGGGGAGCTTTTTGGGCAGGGTGTTCCCGACGCACACCTGAGCACACACCGACAGGGTCCGGTTCTCTCGGGGGACGGGTCCCTCCCG